GGAATTGTCCATACAGAGTGGGCAGGACATCATCTGGCAAAAACTAAGCAACTAGAGGGCTGAGATAACAGAACTGAGCCAAACCTAGTGCAAAGGGCACAGCCAGGCACTTAGGGTTTAAAATTAATTTTCTGCTGCACAGCTGGAAACGTTGGAAATGAGAGGAGGAGAATGACAAATAGCTCCAGGTCTGACTCTGCATGAGCATATGGTGCAGCCATGGAAGGAGTAAGTACGATGTGAGGAAGAACTGAGGACGGTGTTTCCAGGAGAGCTTGGGGAGTGCAGACCCTGCTGCACCACCACTGGAGACCAGACTCGGACCAGTGCAGCACCAGGAAAACCAGCTTGTGGCTGGGATGGGTGGTGAGCAGGGCTGCTGAGATGGAGAAGATCTTTGGCAGCAGAGGACTAGCACCTAGCAAAAGGGAGGCTTTCTATAACCACACCAATACAGCAATGATTAGGAAAGAATATTTAATCAGGATTAGGGGCAGAATAACCAACTAAAGACTAAAATATAGACTGGAGATTAGACAAAGCTTTGCAACACGCAGGAAAATAAGTTTCTGAAACCTCCTAGCAGTGAGGTTTAAGAGGAAACACTGATGAGACGGACTGATATCCGGAGAGGATTACATGGCAGCGAACCGGAGCCGCCAGGGCTTGGACACGACCAGGACATGTAGATCTGCTTCCCATAAAATCCATCTGAGCTTCCTCACAAGGTGTCTGTTTGCAGCCGACATGTGCTGACATTGCAGGGGAAGCTTTGTCAGGGCGAGGAGGAAGTGTCACTCACCCCCTTTGTATGGCATTTGGGAGATGTTTGGTTCTGCGTGACTTTGGAGCGTCACAGAAAGAAACCTGAACTGGGAGATAACCGAGTGTACAAGACAGATCTTGCACACAAGAAATGCTGAGCGAGGGCAACGCTCCTGCTTTTGTTTAAGGTGCTCCTGAGAGCGCCTTTCCCCTTTTCAAACACTTTTCACGTCACCCGCGGAGCTGCAGGGACCGGGGAGGTGCTTTACCAGCTGCAATGCAACAGCCAGGAAGCCTGCGAGACAAACAGGCACTGTGCCCAAGAAATGGCTCAGGTTCATGGAGGCAGGATTAAACTGGAGTTATCGGGAAAAAACTGGTCTTGCCTGGGAACAGTTTGTCCGGTTAACAGCCTCATCCTCTCATCCCCTGCCTGAGATCATGACAACTTTATAGCTTTGCTGTGATCGTCCCTCAAATAGGATTATTCAGGATGCTTCGGTGCTAGAACCTTACTGACAAGTATCAAAGCAGAGAAATAAAAATGTTCCGGGTCTGGAGTGATTGATTTATGGAAAAAGATGAAAAGAGCAAGCTGTTATTATCATTAATGTTAACATTAAGTGCACAAAGTCATTCCAGGAACTTCAAAGAAAGACGCTATCAAATAAAGGTACAGCTGAAATGCAGTTGCAGAATAAATAATCTATATCTGCCTTGGCTGATGGGAGAAGGCAAATAAGTCCAAATAGACAGAGGGCTGTGCTGTTATTCAGTGTTTGCTGGATGATGCCTATTGAGGAGGATGGTCCTTAGTCTGGAGAAACCACCAAGGGCTCAGAGGAGTTGTGTAAAGTGAGGCAAAAGAAAGAAAGGAAAATGAAGGCATGATGAGAATCAGAGAAACTGTGCTTTCATCAGCGAGAAGGACTGTTCCACATGCCAGTCTTTGCTGCTGTGATCTCGTTTGATGGACTCTCCAGCAGGGAAACATAGCGACAGCTTGGTGTGGACACATTATTCGCAGGCAGCTTCATCACCTACTGAGACATGCGTGGTCCCAGGGGCCTGCAGACACCAAGTGGCACAAGGACAGCTCGGCCTCGGGCACCTGGAGTTCCTTTTTGGCCTCCAGAAGTGAAGCCCACAGCTGGTGGTGCAGAAACATCTCTATGGACAGAGCAGATCTGTGCTGTTCCCACGTGTTATTACGGCTGCCACGCCTGGAGGTATTTGTTGTGAGTAAGACATCGTGCTGGGGCTTTACAAATATGAGGGAAAGCCCAGCTGATGCCTTCAAGTGCTTGCAGCTTGTGGTTGCTCTGCTGTTGATTGCTTTTTTTCCTGCTTCGGACAGGCAGAAACCCGGAAAATGAAGGCAGCCAAGGAAACGCCGACCGTCTTTGAAGCTGCAGCTGTATTTAGACAGGGGTGACCCAAAGGTTATCACAATGTCCATTCTTGCTGATCTGCTCGTCTGTAAAACCCTGTGCTGACCCCATCCCTCTCTTCCTCTCTACAGTGTGTCGGGGATGGGGCTTTGTGCTGCAGAGCTACCGTGGGGGTCCCACCTTTCCTCGCTGCAACGCTGCATCTCCCTGTTTCTATCCCAAACCGGAGTCAAGCACAAGAATAACCAACAGCTTTGCTCTGTGCAGTGAGAGGAAACCTGGAAGCAATCCTAAAGCCACAGCGTGAGGCACCACGGTGCTGGAAAGGGCAGCTGCTCCGGCTGGGGCAGAGGAAGGCAAAATTGTGGTCAGAGCTTTACCAGAGGTCAGCTTTGTGCCTGGAGACGCACATTTCCTTCCTGCCTTGCACGTCTTACCAACTCTGACCACCCCTTCTGCAGGGTTTTGCAACATATCCCTGGCTGATGCTCTTTTTTGGGGGGGAACCATGGCTCTAATGAGCTCAACAGTGGGTGCAGCAATTCGGTGACTTTAGGGACTCTGCTCTCTCCAGCTCCCTGGAGATGAAAGGGGGCTGCCCTTTGTGATGGAAAAACTTTCGTGCTCGTATCCTTAGCCAGACACCAATTTACTCCAAGAGCAAGCAAGAGAAAATGAATTTTTGCGGGTTTTTTCCTGCTATACCTACAGAAAATCACCTGTGATAACGCAGATTTGCTACAAAGCTTCACGTGCTCCCACACCAGACAGATGTTTTACCCAGAATAGCATCTGGTGAAGTTTCTAAAGTGGTTTTTTGGTTTGGTTTGGTTTTTTTAAGCAGGGCCCCTTACTGATGGTGGCAATGCTGATACTCCCATGGGACAGGCATGAGTTGGCTCGGCTGGACCCAGCATCTCCTGTCCTGCAAGGGGGGCAGAATTTTGCCATTGCTTGGAATATTTTCCTATTATTATTTTTTACTATAAGCAGTTTCCAAAAGCTTTCTGGGGGAAATGGTAAAATGGGGAGAAAATCAAGAAGATCTGGGCTGCACAGGGATAAATGGATGCTCAGCCATGTGGGAGCATTCCTTAGAGCTAGCAGCCGGTAGAGCAGGGTGAAATCTTCCTGCTGCTTTTTAAAATCAGCATCCAACCAATCCTCCCTTAAACTCTTCAGAACTGCTCAGACGGATCCGAGTGCAGCACTCGCAAAAAAGCGCAGTTGTTTTAGTTCAAAGTACATTATTTTCTCTCAAGAGCCATTTATGAAATTAATATTCCCATCAGCCCTAATAAAGAACCTTCCTCCTAAGATGTAGTGTGCCACCCTTGCACACTGAGCAGGTTCTGCTAATATAGATCATCCGTAATGACTTCAAAGCGAACCAAGCTTCACGAGGATCAATCAGGCACATTGCGTTCAGTATCGCCCTCATCCTGCAAAACACCGAGCAGTTTCCACACCATTACCTTGCAGGACCACAGCACTTTTGCAAACCGCACAGCACACATCATCCAGGAATAGATCATTATATCCCCAGAAGTGTAACTGCCACAACAGGTCACATTTTCCCAGGCAGGTGAACCCCAAATCTCCCTAAGAATCACTCATTCCTGCAGAAATTCAGGTGGTGGCAGGAGAAATGAAGAATTACTCTGCACCAGACAGTGCATGGACTTGTTTAGACAAGAAAGTTTCGACGCTGCCCCAAGGTAAAATATATGTGACAGATGATTACACAGGCTAGAGTATGGCCAAGACATTGAGACGAGTGCAATTTCACCTACTAAGTGCATCCCAGAAACTTCAAAAAGTTTCAAAACCATAGCATGATGCCTCCTCTAAAAGAACAATTTGTTTTGTATTACTCCTCATGACATGCCAGTTGCCAAAAAGAAAGGGATCTGAAGCCAGCGAAGCGCTTGGGAAGCCAGCGAAGCAGTTTCACATCTTGGCATGAGCGCTGAAGCACTCAGGAGGGCTCCAGAGAAGTAAAAACCCTGGTAGTAAACACAAAGCAAAGTACTGTCCCACCAGCAGGCTCCAGCAAGAGCCAGGGACAAGCATCTCCTGAGCAAACTGCAGGCAGACGGACGTCAGTTTGGCTTGCGATAACAGGTTCAGGCTGCTAAAGGTTTTTCCCTTCCAGTTGTCTCTGAGGACTTTACAGAGCGAGGGTGTTTAGGGGCTGGAAAGTGTCTACAACCCTTTTGGCCACCAAAAGTCACAGTGAGAAGAGGTGGTGGGTGAAGCTGGATGCTGGAGCAGCAGCTAACCTGAACCCTGCGGACAGTGAGTGGTGAAAAGGGGCTTTTGCAGCAGAAACGAGACAAACCACCCTCCAGCCTCCACATTTCCAACACCCCCAGGGTGCTGAAAGGGAAACAAGGGTCATTGGCCCAGCATCTCCCACCAAGAGATGCAGCAGAAAGAGGAGGACCATTGCTTCCCTAGGGAAGGCAAGGAGTCCCATGTCCAGGTGAGCCAGAGGGGGGCTGCAAGAAGGACCTCAATCCGCGTAGAGCTTGCCCAGTGCTCTGTGTTCTTCTGCAGAGGAACCAACACGCAGGCGCTACTTCAGCGCCCCACCAGGGAAATTATCACGTGCGCAGCGCTGGGTTTCACTAAGCATCTGCTCAGCACACAGGAGCCTCTCACACGGGAGGTGAGAGCAAACCACAGCTCACATCCGACTTTGGGATGCAGCTATAAACTGCACGACCACTTCCACGGTCGTGTTTCCCAGCTAATGCTGGTGGCGAGGGAGAAACGTGCACAGAAATACATGAGGTTGGTGGCGTGCAGCACCAAAAGGGCGATCTGCAGCACCTCTCCTACCTCTTTCGGCATTTCCCGTGGGAAGAAGAAATAAGGCACCGCAGACAGGGCCACGAGACTGGCTGCGACCAGGAAACCAAGCCACCAGGCGCCGACCCACCGCGGGTCTTTGTTCGTGAGCTGGACTTCGTCTGCAAATGGAGAAACGATCGTTAAACCAAAAGTGAACAGAGGGACCCCAATGCACCCAAGGGATGGTGATGGGTGGCCTCAGTCACCTCAAATGTCAGCCAGCTCCAGCGTGGTGGCTCCCAACCTGGGGACCATCAGTTTTGGGGTCTGAGCGGCATTTGCCCCTGATTCATCCCACGGTGCTAAATCACATTTCATTCTTTGTTATCCCCAGGGTGTCTAAAAACCCATTCAGCCCTTTGGATGGAGATAACTGGGACAGGGATGTCCCAGAGCTGGAAAAGCAAAGGAAAGCATCCCCCTCATAGCTCTTTCAGAGGAGAGGTACCCATGTTGTGAAAAAAACTTGGGAATACTCCCTCAAGGGTATTAAGTCATAGTGTCTGTCAATATAGAAGGAAAAATCCTTTCTTAAGGTTAAAATGGAGTTAACTACACTCAATTTTTGGCATTAGTTCAGTTTTTTAGTCTGGCTACCCACACAAGGACCCCCTGTTCACAGCAGGACTTGGGCCCCGGAGCTGTGCCCACCAGTCTGGTCCATCAGCCAGTGCCTGGTTTGCAGCTCGACCAAGGGAAGCCAATCTTTAAAAATGCTTTAATAAGGATTATATCCCTTTCTCCTGCCTGTCTTCCTTCAGTCTACCCAGCCTCCTCTCCTGTCGCCCTCAGGGCACTCTGCCAAAGATAACATTTTCTGTGGGGAGGGTACCTGGCATAAAGAAAGTGGGATACGCAGAAACCAGAATGTAAATTCGCAGCAGGGTGAGTCTGAACCAAGAAATGTTTCTACAGAAAAAGGGGATGTCTGTGGTTAGATAGTGTTCACGAGCAATCCCAGGAAACAAGTCCTCCCAGAAACCTCTTTCTTAATGTTGAGGTTTAACACAAGTGAGCTATTCTCACTAAGGGGGTGTGCAAATAAAACTGCAATCAGTTTACTGGATTTTGGTACAGCAGATACTACAACATCTAATCTCTCACCTCTGGAAATAACAAGTGATAAGTCAAAGAAATTTGATAATCTCCTCCTTGCATGATGCATTTAGCAAGTTGGAATTTTAAATCCCTTCCTGAATAAGCGCCAATTTTTCTGGGAAACCATGAGGTTAGATTAGCAGCCACAGCTCACTAGCTTTCCCCAGTAGGCTGAAGACATCTTTAGGCTGAAGGTAGCTCTAAAACTGAGTGTTCTCCAGTTCTGGCTACCCAGGCACATTTCTCTTTCAACATCTATCTGCAGAAGAACTGAGCACCAGGGAGCGCAGGCAGACAGCAGGTCTTGATCCCATTTCTTCACCCTTCAGAGGCTGATAAGCCAAGACTCCAGACACCTCGCCAAGGTTAACCCACTGAGGAGGATCAGCAATAAGCTTGGACATCGCCTGGAAGAGGCAGTGTCAAGACTAAAGCGTGGTCTTGTGCTTCAAATATCATAAATGTATATAGTGACAAATTCCAGGTGAAAAAATGCCCGGTGAAGTCAGCGAGCCGGAATAAGCTGGAGGCTCTGAGAAGGAGCCAAAGCTGATGCATCTGTGGTGTCAACACCCGCTGCTCATCCAGCTCCACACCTGATGCTCTCTGGTCACCGCCCAAAGGAGCCTGTCCATCATCCTTTTCCTCACATGAGGACATGCTCAGCTGTATAATGTGTGTCTGCTCTGTTAATAACTGGGAAATAGCCTCTTGTTTTCCAGGCAAGAGCAGCCAAAAAGGAGACGACGACAAATGCTTTAATAGCACAGGTCAGGAAGAGATATTTGACAAAGAAATCCTTTTCATGCTCTTTTCTTGCCCTACCCAGCATTTCTCTTCTACTTCCATCCTACCCTTCCCTCTACTTCTTCATGTCTCAGGGTCCTGGTACCTGCTCTCCATTCTTTCTCTCTTATTGCTCCATCTTCCTCTTTCATGTTTCTCTCTGGGTTCTGCTCACCCTCCACATCCCCACTCTTCCCCAGTGCTGGCTGGCAGCAAAATGCTCCCACTGCTGCAGCTGGTGTACGGCAGAAAATTCATAGAAGAAAAAAAAATCAGGTCTGCCGTAAAAGCACAATGCAGATGGGCATCCCTCTGACCAGACGAGGCAGCAGCCCAGGCGTGAGGGACCCCCAGGTCTGAAGGGTGATTAAAATAAGGGATTCCAGCAGCCACAGGGCCAGGTTTAACCCTGCAGATGTGTGTGTGACACCGAGCCGGGTGGGAAGGACGCATTTATTTGGGCCATCCACCTCAGCAATGACAGGACCAGTGTCCCAGAGCAGCCCCAGGTGATGGAATTGATTCAACAAGGGAGACAGCGGGCAAAGGGAGCCAGCCTCTGCCCCACAGGCTGCACCCTCATCCCTTGGAGGTTGGGATGTCTAGAGAGGGGCTGGACCACAGCTGGTGAAGGATGCTGGCTGGCTCGCCCAGGGCACGTTCACTCACCTCCGGCGACTTTGTCAATGTCAACGTAAAAACGCAGCATGGCAGAGCCCAGCATGAAGGCCACTCCCGGCCCGATGACGGTCACGGAGAACAAGATTCCTACAGAGGGGTGAGAGCGGAGAGAGGCTCAGCCCTGCACGAAGGGACCACAGCGGACAGGAGGTGCCTTCAGGCAGGAGGACCAGGGTCCACCGTATCTGCCTCCAGCACCAGCTGTTTCCCTGGCAGCTTTCTTATCTCACACCTTTCAAAGGATAACAACCCCACGCTTTCCATGCTCCCTTCATAGGAAAGGTTTTACAAAACTCAGGTCTTTCCTGTCAATTTTCTTCAGCCTCCTAGAAAGACTGAAATACACCCAGGAACAAGTTGTGCCCCTTGGCATAAGAAATCCGGGAACTGCCAAGTTTTTTTACAAGGTTAGGGAGATAAAAGTTATCAGCAAACTCTCCTATGTGAATTACTGATAATAAAATTAAACACATGTTAAGATTCAACTCCTATCTAACAGGTGATCCTTTCAAATATGGTTCAGAGGTTTGGAGGATCGACCAGAGCAAATTTTGATGCAGTACTTCCAGTTTCTTGACAGTAATGATCTGCTTTTGAGCCACCTTTGCTTCCCATTCAGTTCAAAAGGTCATCACAGATAAAAGCTGGAAAAGGGCTAGAAGGACCCTTGTTATCCCACCACTCTGGGACATCCCTTTTAGGCATGTACCCAAGCTGTTCTCCAGCCTCCCAGAGGGCTGATCCTGCTTTTTTAGCTTCCAACAATTTTCCCTATATCAAAACAAAGTCTTCATTGATGCATCTTAAGCCCACAGCTGCCCCTTCTGAACAAAGAAATTAGATTATTCCTCTTCTCCTCGTTGAAGCCTTTTTGGAGGAGGACATGGTTATTGTGTCTCACTCCAGCTTATCACTCTTAGGCAAAAAGTCCCAGCATCTCCCCTAAATCGCATTTTCCAGCACTCCTGGTCTATCTGCAGTTTGCCCAAGCTTGAAGCAGAGAAAATATTTTTGCAAAAACCTTCTTAGCACTGGGGAGAGCAGAAGGGCTAGAGCAAGCTCAGCTCTCATGAACGCAAATTAGTACCGTCCGACCTTGTCATCATCATAATTCTGGATTCCCCTCTCCCCACAGCAGCCCCAGCCTTACCCAGATAGAGGGGGGAGTTCCTCTCACTGGCGAAGTCGTCAATGTAGGAGATCCCGAAGGGCTGGATGGGGACGCCTCCGATGCCCAGCAATGCCTGGGCGATGAACATGACGAGGAGAACCTCGTGGTTCTCCCTGGCAGCATGGGGGGTGCAGCCAGCATCGCTGAGGTTCCCGCGGGACCCCGGCACCCCAGGCTGGCACAGGTCAGTGGTGTTGCTGAACATGCCTGTGATGACAAGGGGAGCAGGTCTAAGGAGCCTGGTCTGGAGAAAGAGTTCCCCTACGATGGCAGCAAGCACATAGACGTGAGCTCGGCACACGTCAGGTGGGAAACGTCGGTGAAAGAAAATGCAAAGAAAGTGCAAAGATACTCTGCAGATGTTGAGAGTGAGATGGATGCACATGCCATGAAATGGGACCTCTGTGGAAAAAGCAGAGCTGAGATCACTTCCTGGACCTTCGCTAGATCTTGCGATAAAGGTGAGTGAGCAAAACTGCAGATTTCACGAATAGCTGCTCAGGTAATTAGAACGCATTTTACCCAGAAATGGATTGCAAAGCTGCCTAAATGAAAGCGCTGATTCTAGCACTTATCTTCCTTAAAATAAAAAAATTAAAAACCAAATTTTAGAAAAAGCACTTATCAAGCACCCTTATCTTCCTTAAAATACTGGGGGAGGGGATGGTGGTGTTTACAGCAGGATTTCCACGGTTATGCCCCAAATGATATGCAACTCCGAGTGCTTGACACAGGCCCACCTGCACCAGCACTCCTGAAATGCATGGCTAATTGTTTCCAAATTGTCATTAGCACCTGACCCCTGTTTGCATCCGTGAATTATTCACCCATGAAGTCTTCCTTTGGTGGCTGCAGCTGTGTGAACCAGCTGTGTTGTCTCTCATCAGCCAGAGAAAAGCTGTTTAGAGGAAGTTTCTGAAAGATTTACTGGAACTTCATGGCAGTTTTTGGGAAGGTAACAAGAGAGTGGGTTTCTCCTTTCTTTTCTCATCCCTTCACCTTCTTTCAGGGAGAAAATCCCTAATCCACGCTGACCTGTTCCTCCGTGAGTGATTTACACCTGCACATTTCTCATAGGAGGTTGATTTTCTGGTGGGGTCTAAAATCTCAAAGCATTCCCTTAAAGACAGCTCAGCTAGCCAGGGGAAGACAGGTGAGGTGCCCCACAAGAAGGAGAAATTAGGTGTGAAACCAATGCTCCCTCATTGCAGACAACAGCACTTCACCCCCAAAGCTGCCCCATTGGGTTGAGTCAAGCTCTTTGCTGTACCTCTTGTTTCCTTCCCATGAAGGGCTTCAGTGTTCATGAGACCTTATCTTGCCTACGTTATGAAAATAAGGGAGCAGTTCATGTGCATGAGGACAGTTTGGCTCAACGCATGGAAGATGAGAGCCCTGGTGGCTGGGGAAGATCTTCCTGCTACCCAATGTTTGTCTCCTGCGTGGATGTGCAGAAGACAAGGGGGGTCGGAGGCACCGCCTACGTTTTGATGGTTTTCACGCCCTTTCTTGTGGTTCCAGCTGTCCCCTGTCTCTGCTTCCCACCATCAGCTGTTGCCTCTTGGGACTAAGATTATTTCATTCTCATAAAATTAAAAATTCCTTGAGGACAAACGTACAGCTTGCAGCTCCCAGCCCCTTGAGGGAAGGTAATTTCCTTTATCTGTCCCAAAAGGCATAAAATAAGTTCCTAGAGTACCTACTGGCAACGGACTGGTCATACTCGTAGGGTCCGGTTATGAAGTGAGGGAGAGACATGAGGAACCCGGCCAAGGAGACGAGGATGGCACCACAACCGATGAAACGGGGCCTGTGCACTCGGCTCCCGAAGTAACTTATGAAGACGATCAGCAACGTGTTCCCAACCTGCAGCAGGACACACAGACCAAGAGGTCCCACAAGGGAATGACAGGAGCATGGGGAGAGCATTTACCAGATAGACTAGGAGAAGCAAGCTGGTTTTCACCTCATTGAAGGAAGCGAGCAGCCCTGACGTCTGGCTGGAAAGGCCGTATCGTCTCTCGATGGTTGAGATGGAGCTCTTCAGGTAGCCAGAAACCAGGAGCTGGGAGAGCTGCAGGAGGCCATGGCAGAAAACGAAGAACTGCCAACACAAAAAGAGAGCACCCAGCATGATTACTGCGAGCTGCAACATAACAAAAGGCATCTCCTACATAAAGTCACGATTATTGAACATGAACCTTCAACCGTGAGCCTTTGAAATATTAGCCCCACTCCTGCCATCAGTGGTCTTCTGAAATTAGGTCAGGGCCATTAAATAGTTCTCTGCCAAAAGTGACAATAGGGTTAGTATTTGCAAGGAGAGCGTAGTTTCTTCAGCTGAAGACAAACAGATCATTTCGGTTGGGATGTTGCTAGTTTGTGTTGGCCTTGGCCCCGAGATCTAGCAGCAGAAGTGGGAGATTGCACAACCTTCCCGTTCCCGTCCAGCCCGCGGCAGGCAGCCATCCCCAGTGCTGGCAGGAGCTCTTCTGGGACAGGAAAGAGCCCTTCCGAACACAGCAACAAATAGCTTTGTTAGAGAAAGTCAGGAGAAGGTCAGGGAGAATAATTCAGTCTTTCTGTTTTCCTCTCCTTCTTGCAAAGCCCTGGATGTAAAGGACATATCTCCTTTGGGAAAACGGGATGGTTCTTTTCCACTTCCAGAAGGAAACCTTGTCAAAGACCATCATCTCCCAGAAACTCATCCTCCAGAGTTTGGGACATACTGGTGCTCGGCTGCTCAGGCAAACATGTGGCTGGAGCTGCCCCACTGTTACGGAGGGCAGCAGCATCCCTCTTCCTGCTCCTCACGCAGAAGCATTTTGCAAGTGCCAAATGAACTGTCCCAGGAGAGATGGAGACCACCTCCCCTTCACCCACAGCTCTGCAAAGTGCTCTGCAAAAGAAAGCAGCTGGAAAGCAACCTCCTTCCCTGCTGCCACATGGCTTTCCACAGGAATCCTTCCAGTCCCCAAACGCCTTAAAATAAACTAACCAACCCAAACCGTCGCATGCCCTAAGGAAACGGACCGCTCATCTCACTGCAGGACAGGCTGAATATCCCTGGGTCCTTGCAGAGCTGCTGCCTTCAGCCCTGGATTCTGCCCAAAGCCACCGGGTACTGATTTTGGCAGACATTTTCCCAGTCGCCGGCCAGAGCCGGGCATGCTTTGGCTCTGCGTGTTTTGCAGCCAGCTCCCACCAGGCAGGAGTCTCGCCTGGAGGAGCTGCTCAGCCTGGCCTGGGTTTCTGCTATGCCTTGTTCTGATCCAGGGCTGAAGTAGGGTCACTGCCAAACTGGACTGCTCTTGAGCAGACCGACTATTTACAGCACAAAAAGGGAAAAAGACAATGGTCAAGCCCCCTTGGCTCCCTGAGAACTGGAGCACCGGGGTATGAGTACCCCCACAAAAAGTGCTGCGTTGGCATCATGCAAAGCAGGACGCAATCCAGGACCTTCCCACTTTCAGGCTCATGTCACCACCGAGGGTTGCAACCGTGTTTGGACTAGGAAAATGTCACCAGCCAAAGCAAAGCTTTCCCAGAGTCACCTTTGCTAACACTCCTATGCTCCTGCAAGACATACTGGCTATGTCCAGGCATTGTTTCCTGAATACATGAGTTCAGATGGAAATGCTGAAGCCAGACTCATTTTTTTCCCAGGAACACAAAACACACAGCCCAATGGGTATCCAAATCCAGGACTTCATGGCATGTTGGTTTACATCAGCTCAGCAGCTGCCCACCACTGCCCCGCATCCTCTTCAGAGCAGGAGATCAAAATGGGTTGGGAATCTGGTATTTTGTTATCCTCTGTCTGGGCAGACTAAAGCACAGAAAAGAGAGATGGCCCTGTAAAGGACTTGCAGTGGCTTGGTGTCAGCACCGGGCAAGGACCCAAGTTCTTCGGGCTCCAGGGGCTGTTTGCTGTTAGCCATCAGATCACAGCTCGGCTGGTGATCTGCCAGAAAAACAACGAACAGATTCATGGACTTTAGATCTTCTGGAGTGTCTCTCTTTGTTTTTGGCTGGACACACGATGCTGCATTTTGTCCTGCAGCAAAAATCACTTGTTTACATTTCTGTATCTGATCAAGACATCTGGCTCTCTAACCTGCATGGTCCGGAAAGATGCTCTTCGCGCCTGGAAGGAGAGACCATTACTGACACCAGCGTGACCCTCATAAACAGAAGGTGAGATTTCTCGGAGGACCAACTGCCGGAGAGCATAAGCTCAGCTCTGCTCCAGAGCCGCAGCTACAGCATCTCCAAGATGCCAGAGGTCATATGGACATGCACACCAACATACGCTCCTCCTGCCCCAGGAGATCTCAGCAGAGCTAACCCTACAGACAGAGCCTGCTGCTTTCATCTAAATCCTTCCCTGCCAGCAGAGCCTGCTTCTTCATACTCCCAGCAAAAGGAGCAAAAAGGCAGCAGACAGTGGTGTTAGGCAACACACTAAAATCAAATTACGTCTGCTTATCAGCTCCCAGGAAACAAACCTCCCAATCTAGAGCACTCCTTTCCATCCTCTCAAAGTACAAGCTGTGAATGCTTTCCACATTACAAGCGTAATGTGGGCTTGAAAGAGAGGGGTAACACCAAGAGGCACAATTCAGGTCTCCATGCATTCAAATGCAAGGCTGCAAGCCTAGGTTGAGTCTCAAAAGTTGAGTCTATACTTGTAGATGAAATAGGATGGGGGCTATTCTCTGATGCCAAGGCCAGTGGGAACAGAGTAGCCTGCATCCATCCTACCAAACTCACTGGGCCTTCAAAACAGAGCGGTTTCACCCAAAATGCTTGCTGGGAATGGTACCCAGTCCTTGTCTTCCCAGTTTTTGGGGAAAGTAGTAGCTGGGCCAGGGCCAAGTCGTGGAGTAGGTGATAATTCAGAGGTACAGCCAGATGAGCTGTAGTGCTGAGGTCTGTCGGGGTCTCACTTTGCAAAATGTCTCCTCCATCCCTGGAGGAGCTGATCCAGGGGCCGCTGTCAGCATGCCTAGCCATGCTTCCCCAGCCTGTGCTGGGGTGAAGGTGCAGGGCAGGCTCGGTCCTGCCTTTGGGATGTGCCCAGGCAGGCAGCCACACCACGATACTCATTGTGAAAGGGTTTTGGTTTTCTCCTAGCTGCTGCTTACAGTTCCACTCATCCAGAGCAAAACCCTACACTGGAAGAAGGATCCCAGTCTTCCTGAGCAACCCACAGAGCAACCACCACCCGTGTCACGCCAGTCTGCTCAGGTTTGGGGGATGTCCTCCGTGCTGCGGCCTGGAGGGCAGGACTTCAGGGGATGAACATTCAGACTCGGAGTGCAGAGAGCTCATTCCCTGAAATCTGCAGTGTGTTTTTATAGGCTTATCTTTCCCTTTTCTGGAAGAGAAAAGCATTACTGCAAGTGCTGGGGAACAAGGAGAAAAGCAAAAGCCTGGGTCAATGCAAGGGTATGAGGACATCATTGGTGGCAGGACATCCTGAGGGGATTGCAGCAGCTTAAGGAAAAGAGAGGTGGAGGGCAGGAGGCCTGGGTTACACCAGGAGCTGGTGGGGTGGTTGAAGACAGCCCAGCAAGAGTCCTCAGGCATGCACCGTGTCCCACCAAGGGAGCAGGGGCGGTGAAAGAGCTGCAAAGGCATCTGACCACAGTGCAAACAGCAGGATGAAACGAGGGGAAGGAAATCCCCATGGGCTGCCCGGCAGAGCTTCCTAAGATCAAGCTATCGATAGCCATTTTTAATTAAACATTTTCAATCTCTTTTCTTCAGCACGTGCCTTTTTAAAAAAAAATGACTGCTAAAAACTGAACAGAGTGAAGGGGCCAACACCTAACATTTCTGCACTCTGTGTGTTGAAAGAGCAAAGACCAAGACTTACAAAAACCTGGATACCCAGATGGTAACTGCACTAGTTGCTGCACAGAAGTTTTTAGACACAAGTCAGAACCCTAGATCAAGCAAGGGAACATTTAAAAAGTCCAAATCAAGACAGAAATGATTGAGAAGGAAAAAAACAACAGGAATGTGAGGACCACTGCCTGCATTTTCTCCAACTTCTGCACCGATTGTAAGTCAACTAGTTCTGGAAAAACATAATAGAAAAACTCATCTTTTTTCAGGAGCTGCCAGATTTTCTGTGCTTTCCGTTTCTCCATGATGGTGATTTGCTTTCCCAAGGTAGCAAAGTGGGAGGTCTTGCAATTAAAGCTCTGCAAGGCCAAGTCTCCTTCTTGCTCTTCAGGGAGTCATTGCGGGCAACCACCCTAACCATGGGGCATTTTTAGGCTGGGGAATATTTTAATGAGTGACAAATAGAGAGCTGGTAATTGCTAGTGTGTGATTTCCAGTTTGCCCCATTGTAACTGTGATGATGGTGGTGGGTGGTCGAGCCCCAGCAGTGTGTCTGTCATGGGGCTCCTCTGTGGTCTCCCATGATATTTGGTGCAGGGCTGACCACGTGCAGACTCAGATGCCACCCTCCACCTTTCTCAGCTAGTTCTGGGAGACAGCCCATGCCACAGGGCAGGCAGATCCTTTGCATCATCTTTCCATCTAGGACTTGAGGCTGGGGTCCCTCCTCCACACTCGGCCATGGGACAGGTGGGATCAGCTGGCCTGGGTCTGATGGGCTACCCCAGCAGCAGGAGAAGACCAGAAGGTGATCTGGGTCTGCAGACACCAGCCTTTTCCCAAGACCTGGGTCCTGACAGCGGGACGCACCCACAGAAAGTCAGGAGCAGCCCCAAAGCTGGGTGCTCCCAGAAGCAAGCCCAAGCCCAGCTGTCTGGCACCTTTTTCCCACAAAGGGCCAAGTCACGCTCACATCCTTTCCCCTCTACATCGGTAGAAGTAAAACAACTCAGAAAATCCAAACAAGCGCTTGCACATGCTGAAGAGGAAGGAAGGGAGAGGTTTTTTAATGGCTTTTTTCTTTTTATAAACATCTGTGAAGCATTATTATAAGAGACTGCTCAGGCTGTGTGTTGGGATAACACCAAACATTGCACCAGACCAGGGACAGAGAGTGATAGGTACTGATGTACCCCTGTCAAAAACAACCCCCTTGCAGTGCCAGGGTACGGAGCAACCTTCCTTCTCCAG